ATTGCCTGAATGGGTGGTGAAAACATATTCAATAACAATTTGCAAAAGTGAATTAGAAAGGTACTTGAAAAGTGAATTAGATGTAGACTTGGGGAGACAGGGGATGGATTGAAGTAATTGAAGTGGAAGCATTTGCAAGGATATGAGAAAAGAGTGGGGTAAGGACTGATTGGGCATCTCTTCCAAAGAGCTGTCACAGGCACGATGGACCAAACGGCCTTCTTTGCTGTAATATTCCAGGATTCTAGGGTTATATAACTCACGCACACCTTTGGCTCTCACCAAACTGCGACAACCTGGCCCCATCCCACAGACTGTCATACAGACCAGTCCACGAAATATACAGTCAATTCGCTTTACAGTGTATCATGCAAAGCGCTTGGAGGTGGCTCGAAGACGTGATAAGTCGCTGAATCAGATGCAAGGATTATTATTATAATAGTGATTATCATGCAGAACCTCACACACTGTGTCCTGGATTCTGGTCTAACATTAACCTGAGCCTCACCTGGATCCACTTCAATCGCCCAGAAACCTTCTCACCTGATCGCTATCGCAAACCCTAAACCTACCGTCACCTTTACCCTGAGCATAAAACAGACTCTAAAACCCGAAACTTGACCCTATCCCTGAGCCTCACCAGACGCCCTCTCACCTGTTCTACTTCATTTGGTGGAAATTAACAAAATTAGAAAAACTAGAAACAAACTGTGAGAAGCTGATAGAGGAACAAGAGGTGAGGTATACGGTTTGAGCTGTGAAAACGGATCTCTGTGGTTTGCCTGTAAAAAGTGTCACTCTTTCTCTCAGTCTCTCTCTCACACACAGTCACACGCAGTCTCTTTTTCTGTCACACATTGTGTCTCTCACATTTCAGTCTCTCTCACTGTCTATCTCACACTCTCAGTCCTCTCTCATAAGCCGTGTCTCACACAGTCTCTGTCTCACATATTCTCAATCTCTCTCTCTCTACTTGAGCCTCTCAGATGACATTATAAATTGAGGTCCAGTTTGTGTCGTGTTCAGGACAGATGTTAAAGATCCCGCTATTGGGTAAAGAGTAGGGAGCTTCTCCAGATGTCACAGACCATCCAAGCTTAATTCAAGGTGTATTGACATAAGATATGCTGTGAAATGGCAACGGCTGATGTGTAGCTGAAGCACTGTCACGGTGTTAGCTTAGCAGCGTTTCCAGATATGAAGCACAAACCACCCCGCAAAAAGGCCTCAAATATTTAACCGCAAAAGGAGGAAAAAACAACTGAAGATAATGTCAGAATTTCCGTAGAGGAGATTCCACTCTGCATTTCTCTGGTCAGAAACCGCTTTCAATCTCAAATTTGCTTTTTAGCAATGTTATTAATCCTTCCTTTTGAGACATTTCAGAGAAATATTCATTGTTTCAGAAAAGGAACTATTCAAAATTAAAGTGCATTTATGTCGGAGAGCATAAAAGTATAGCTCATGAAATGACGATTTTTAAAAGGGAGAATGAGCTAAACTAGTAAAGCACAGGCCAATATCTCAACATTTGTGAAGCCCCCACACACTGGGAAACCACATCCCGCTGGTACACCCCCATCACCCGGTACACCCTCTACCTCTGTAAACACCCTGCCACCGGTACAGCCCCCGCTCTGATACACACAATCCACTGGTATAGCCCATCTCCTGGGTACACACCCTCCCCATGTTACACCGGGGGGAAACATTTACTCAGAGACACATGTACTCAGAATGTTTATTCCCAAACCAGAGGGTGAGGCTGGTTGTTCCTGGGGTACGACTGTTGCTTTGGTCTCACAATTCAAGGAAACGTGAGTGGTCTCGGGATCAATTCCTGACCAGACAGTTTTGTGTTTTATCCTGAACAACAATCGACCAATAACATTTGTCATTCGTTCTATGGCTGTTTGTGGGACCTTATGCTGCCACGTTCACTGACAAAATATACAGTCATTTCACTTTGCAGTATATCATATAAAATGACTTGTGAAATCCTCCGGACATGAAAGGCTCCGTGCGAAATACAAGGATTATAATCCTGCTAGTTGGGGAGGGGGGTGAGAGGAGACTCATAGGAGTTGTTCTGACTGCAACCGGAGGTTCTGCTCATGCACTGCTCCTCCTGCCCCATGGAGTCCTGTAGCTCAGTGGTTAGAGCACTCGCTTTGTAAGCGAGAGACCTGAGTTCAATCCCAGGCAGGTCAAAACCTTGGGCAAATTTCCTTACTCCACACAGAGCCTAATAATAATCCCTCCAAAACCAAAAACAATAATAAAATTGGTCATTTTCAATCTACGACTATTTGTGGGACATTGCTGTGCGCAATTAGCTGCCACGTTCACACACAAATATACAGTCAATTCACTTTACAGTGTGTTCTGTGAAGCGATTTGGGACGTCCTCCCGACGTGAAAAGCGCTATACCAAATGCAAGGATTATTATTATTATTATTATTATTATTCCACACAAGACCTGTCTCTGGCTCACACATTCTCCATCCTGCCCCTCCTCACAATGCATGTCTGTGGGTCACACACTGCCCCTGCTTTCCCTCAACACAAGGCCTGTCTCTGGTTCACACACCACCCCTTGACATAGTGCTTTATAATTTTTTTGAGATATTTCAGAGAAATATTCAATGTTTCAGAAAGGACGCTATTCAGAATTACTCACCCTCCCATTGGGACAGCCCATCCCCTTGTACACCACTTCCCCTGGGACACAAAATTCAGTCAATACAAACTCCGCTGCCCGGTTTTGACTAGTTTTCAAATGGAGAAAGTCTACAGCTCAGACATATAGGAGATAGCAGGTGAGTGTTTGTGGGATATAACATGGTTAAAAATAATTGACAAAGCAGTTAAAGAAATGTGAGTTTTTTTCCTCCAGAAAATACTTTGAGCTGGTGATAGACATTCAGTTTTACTCTCTACATTTGTACTCGAGAGGGATATTTGAACTGTATTGCTCATTACTGGGACTTTTTAGATATTAATTATGAGCTCAGCTAAAGGGTGTGATATTGCACGTGTAACCATTGTTGAATTGAACATATCATAGAATGATAGAGCACAGAAAGAGGCCATTCCACCCATCGTGTCTGCGCCGGCTCTGAAAAGAGCCATCCAACTCAATCCCACTCTCCATAGCCATGCGATCCTGTCCTCCCCAAATACCGTATACTTCTCTCTTAAAAGTTGTTATTGAATCGACTTCCACTGCCATTTCAGGTAATGCATTCCAGTTCTCAACAACTCGCCGGGTAAACACATTTTTCCTAACCTCCGCTTTGTTTATTCTACCGACTATCTTAAACCGTGCCTTCAGCTCCCCTCTCGACTCTCTTCCCCCTCCTCGCTCCCGCCCTTCCCTCCCCTCACCCTGACCATTTCCCCCCTCCTTGCTCCCTCCTTTCCCTCCCCTCACCCTGACCATTTCCCCCCTCCTCGCTCCCTCCCTTCCCTCCCCTCACCCTGACCATTTCCCCACTGCTCGGGTCATGACCCAATTGTGCAGCGCCTTGGGACGTCCTCCTGACGTGAAAGGCGCTTTATAAATGGAATCTTATTGTTGTTGTTGTTGTTAAATCAGTGTCCTCGGGATACTGACCCACATGTCAGTGCAAACAGTGTTTCCCAATTCAACCTTTCAAATCATCTCATGATCTTGAAAACAACTATTAAATCTCCTCTTAATCTTCTCAGCTCAAGGGAGAATAATCCTAGTTTCGCCAACCACACATTCACACACACACACACACACACACACCCCCACACACAGAGCATGGAATCCAGACCGACCCCTAATCGTTTATTTGAAAAATCAACTCGCTGCGTCTGTCCAGGCTGTTTAACACTGCACACAATTGATTTTAAAACATCAAAAGCTTCTGACACTCCCTCAGACGAGTTCACCTTATTTCTGATTGATGGCTGATTTATTTATCCACCCTAAGAGCCTTTTTTCAGGCCGTTTAAACTGTGGGAAACATTAATCGTGAACATCATTTGATTCGTGAACCTGCAGTGAAGTATGAACTGACAGAATTTTCCTTGTCAATAGCAAAATTTAATAAAAGATTAGCAAGCTTATACACAATCAAAATTATACATTTCATCAAATCAAATGAAGGCGTACAAATCAATGCTGAGTGTGGGTTAGTGAACTGCACTGCAATGGGTTGATCTGATCAATATAGTGGCTTTGATGTAGGAATCGCTTTGGTGCGGTTCCCATCATTCTGATTCTGATTAACCAACACACCATCAACTAACAAATAGCTGCCACTGTGATCAACACATTCTTACTTCTGATCAATGTAACTCTTTGAGACAAACATACGGCTATTTTCCCAGAAAATGTTATCTGAAGTTTTACCACCTGCCCCACAACATACACCGCACTGAGGCGTACGGTTCAGATTAGGTTCATGGTCTGTAGATCATTCCAATATGGATTAGGAAGTGATAAACAAACTTCGCCTGACTAAACAACCAATGTATGATAAAGGCTGTCATTCTGCGGATCAGCTGACCTCCCGACGTCAAAGGCGCTATTCAGGTGTAATTCAGGTGTAATCTGTCGCACGACAGAGCGAAATGGTGGGCAAGTTCCCTTACCCCACACGTCTGTTTGCATAGCAGGAAGTATGAACCCAGTTGTTACTCAATTGGCAGATCGCTTTATCGGAGGTAATAATTCCTTCAAAAAATACAACGATAATGATAAATTGGTCCCTTTAGTCCACAACTACTTGTGGGACGCTGCTGTGCGCAATTGGCTGCTGCATTTCACGCTGTATGACATGCAAGCATCATTATGATTATTATTATTAATCTCTCTCACTCTCTCTCACTCAGGCTCTCTCTCCGAGTCTCCGAGTCTCTCACTCAGTGTCTCTCTCACTCAGTTCTCTCACTCACTCAGTCTTTCTCTCTTTCTCTCTCTCACTCTCACTCAGTCGCTTTCTCTGTCTCAGTCGCTCTCTCTCTCTGACCCATTCTTTTTTACTTTCTGTCACACTCTCTCTCTGTATTAGAGTGACAGGTGATGCGAGAGGGGTATTGAGATCACACTGAAGCTGGTATTGACCACAGGTGACGATGGGGAGACGTAGAGAAGAGAGAGAGCAGTTCATGGCCACCGGCCTCCGCGCTACATTCTGACTGTGGCATAGACTGGATCCTTGTCCTCACCGGCTTGGCAGCGATTCTCACTCCGGTTCCCTAATGCCAGACAGGCGTAGTGGATGTCAGCGTCCTGCAAACAGGCCAACAATCAGCACATTTGCTGGGGATCATGGGGAAACATGACCTACCTCCAACTTTCTAGCTATTGGCTCCGTGGTGAGACCCCGAGCCACAGCTCCGTTATGTGTCTGTGGGTGTGTGTTCCTGTCTCCCCCAAACACACGGGAGACCGCAACCCACAGCTCTTTTGTGTGTGTGTCTCTCTCTCCCACTCCCACCACACACATCCCCACCCCCTCCACCACCACCCTCTCAGCTGGGGAATGCAACCCATATGTGTGTGGTTCTCCATCCCTCCCCCATGATTACTGTGGGTATTAACATACCTGAAGGTGAAACACATGAATTGATCACCGATAAATCACCCGATAAGTTAATTATAACCAATAATAATGATAATAAACTTGCATTTTGGGAGATCCTCCTGACGTGAAAGATACTGTACAAATGTAAGTCGTATACACACACAGACACACATAAGCAAGCAAACATACATACACACACATACACGCACACACACAAACACCCACACAGATAAGCAAACACATAAAGACACAAACAGAGAGACATAAACAAACACACATCACATGCAGACACCTACACAGACAAAACCCCCACCCTACACATACACAGACACACACACATAAGCAAACACCTGAAGACACAGACACACATATACACATACACCCACACACACAGAACCACACAGACATCCTCCACCACCCCCCAAACTCCGCCGCCCCGACCCCCGCCTCCTCCCCCCCCGACCCCCGCCTCCTCCCCCCCACACACAAACACAGAGAAACACATGCATATAAACAGACCAAGCACAGAGCCCTGAGAAAAGCCACACGACGCAGAGGGCTTGAGCCGCGCTGCACTGAGCCAGGCTGACACAGGGCCTGAGCCGGACTGACACAGGGCCTGAGCCGGGCTGACACAGGGCCTGAGCCGGGCTGACACAGGGCCTGAGCCGGGCTGACACAGGGCCTGAGCCGGGCTGACACAGGGCCTGAGCCGGGCTGACACAGGGCCTGAGCCGGGCTGACACAGGGCCTGAGCCGGGCTGACACAGGGCCTGAGCCGGGCTGACACAGGGCCTGAGCCGGGCTGACACAGGGCCTGAGCCGGGCTGACATACAGCGTCTGAGCCGGGCTGACACAGGGTCTGAGCCGGGCTGACATACAGCGTCTGAGCCGGGCTGATACAGGGTTTGAGCCGGGCTGACCGAGGGCCTGAGCCGGGGCTGAATCAATGATCCTGTCCCTACTCAGGCGCTGACAGTATCAGCATCCAAGGCTGCACTCTCCACCTCTCAAAGCCATCAGGAACCTCGTCGTTCTGTTCGACCCTGAGCTGTCCTTTCTTCCCCACATCCGCGCCACAACTGGCACCACCTTCCATCACCTCCGACACATCGCCAGACTACGGCACTACCTCACCCCTCACGCGGCTGAAACTCTGGTCCACGCATTTGTCACCTCAAGGCTGGACTATGGGAACTCTCTCCTCGTCAGCTTTCCCGGTACCTCCCTCCACACTGCCGGTCATTCAGAACTCTGCAGCTCGTGTACTGTCCCGCACCAGGCCTTGAGCCCACATCACTCCCACCCTCGCCCTCACCCTCGCTCTCACCCTCACTCCCACCCTCACCCTCGCCCTCGCTCGCCTCCAATGGCTCTCCATCCCCCAGAGGATCGAATTCAAGATCCTCATCCTCGCCTACAAGGCCATTCACGGCCACGCCCCCTCCTACCTCTCCGACCTACTATCCCCCTACCTACCTGCCCGTACCCTCCGTTCCTCTGGCTCCGGTCTGCTCCACATCTCCCGCCCCTACCATCGGTGGCCGAGCCTTCAGCCTCTCAGCCCCGAGGCTCTGGAACTCTATCCCCCAGTGCCTTTGCCGCTTCCTCCCTTTCCTCCATCAAGGCCGGTCTCAAGACCTTTCTCTTTGACCTTCAGCCTTCAGCTCCCCTCTCGACTCTGTACCCCCTTCTCGCTCCCTCTCTTCCCTCCCATCACCCTGACCCTGACCATTTCCCCCTTCCTCGCTCCCTCCCTTCCCTCCCCTCACCCTGACCATTTCCCCCCTCCTCGCTCCCTCCCTTCCCTCCCCTCACCCTGACCATTTCCCCCCTGCTCGGGTCCTGACCCAACTGTTTAGCGCCTTGGGACGTCCTCCCAACATGAAAGGTGGTCTATAAATAAAATCTTGTTGTTGTTGTACTCACCTCTGGATGCACCGATCGTGGAGGAATTCTCACCGTCGCATCTGAAACAAACAGAAATGGGATTTAACAGCAGCACATTTCAGTAGCAATCGACATTATTTAATATTATTGTCAATGTTATTAATAATTAAGTTTATAATAATTAATGATGATGACAATCAGGATTATGAGAGAAACAGGAATATATTAATCATCCCTGTGTTTGAAGTAACACCTGGTCGAGACGCTTCACAAAGTACACTGTATAGTGGAAACACTGTGTTTTTGAGCGAGTCACAACATCCAGTTTGCACACAGCAGTGTCCCACAACAGACATGGAGTTACCGACCCACATTATTCGGGGGATTGTCGAGGAGCTCACTGGGAAATATTAATTTCTCTCTTTGAATTTTGTCGAGGGATATTTATTGCACCTGAACAGACCGATGGAACATTAGTTTAACATCGCATCTGAAGGACAGAACACATGAAGCAGCTTAAGTTCAGAGAAGTGATTTACAGACAGACCCAGGGACAGACATGCAGTCAGACACGCAGACAAGCATACAGTCAGACTGGCAGAAAGGCAGACAAATAGACAGACACAGTCGGAAACACAGTCAGACACGCAGACCAGCATTCACTCAGACACACAGAAAAGCAGACAGACAGTCACTCCCAGACAGACTGAGAGAGAAGGGGAGAGACAGAGCCAGAGAGAGAGACCAAGAGAGCAAAGCCTGTGGTTCGGGGGAGGCCCATGAGCAGGCGATGGGTTGGTGTGGGGGTTGGGCACACGGCTGTCCGGGTCACACGGCTGTGCAGCGCCTTGGGACGTCCTCCTGACGTGAAAGGCGCTCTATAAATGGAATCTTGTTGTTGTTGTTGTTGGTGAACGACTCCTTTCCCTCTGGGCTCAATCCCGGGGAAGATGTCACTCACATGTGTCGGTGCTGCTTTGGGGGTCGCCTCCTGCGGGTACGGCCCTGAAAGAGAAGCAAAGAGAGAAGAGAGCGGTGAATTCTCTGCTGTTTTACTGAGCAGCGCCACAGAGCTCAGACCAGGGCTGTCACAGCGATACACAACAACTACTGTCTCTGGTCTGAGGGTAAAGAGCGGCACTGACACGAATACTGTTGAAGGAACGGGACAGAAACGAGGGGTTAATAGACCGACTTCTGCGCTATCGCTGTCTTTGGTACCGGAGCGAGAGAAGCCGCGCGGAGTTTGATGGTGATCACAAAAGCGGTTTAGACGGCAGAGCCCGAGACTGGTTTGGTGAAAGTAAAGCTGGACAGTAGGTATGTGGGGGAGGGGGGGGGTGTGTGTGGGTATGTGGTGTGTGTATGTGTGTATGTGTGGGGGTGGGTGGATGTGTGGGGGTGCGGGTGTGGAGGTGCAGGTGTGGGTGGGTGGGGGTGTGGTTGTGGGTGGGGTGTGGGTGGGTGGGCGTGTGGGTGTGGGTGTGGGGTGTGGCTGGGGGGCGTGTGGGTGGGGTGTATGGGTGTGTGGGGGGTGGGTGTGGGTGGGTGTGGGTGTGTGTGTGGGTGTGTGTGTGTTGGGGTGTGGGTGTGTGTGTGTGGGTGGGGGTGTGTGTGGGGTTATGGGTGGGTGGGTGGGGGAAGCTTGTGTGTGGCGGGGATGGTGTGACTATGGGAAATGTGAGTGTGCGGTGTGAGTGTGTGTATGTGTGGGCGCGGGGGGCTGTTTGGTGGGGGGGATTTGTGAGGGGGGAAAGGGTATATGGGGGAAAATGTGTGTGGAGCTCGGATGTTTGTGGGGGGAGGGGGAGTGTTTGGGGAGGCTGTGTGTGTGGGGAGGGTGTGTGGTGGGGAGAGTGGGTGGGTGTGTAGAAGGGTATGTGTGTGTGGGAGGGTGTCTTAGTTTGGGGAGGGTGTGTGCTTGGGGGAAGGGTGTGTGTGGAGTGAGGGAGTGTGTGGGGAGGCTGTGTGTGGGTGGGGGGGGTGTGTGGTCAAGCGTATGTGCGTGGGAGGGTGTATGTGTGGGAGCTCATGTGGGTGGGGGGAGGGGTGCGCGTGGGAGGAGGGTGTGTGTGGAGGGAGGGTGTGTATGCGGATGTTAATGGGGCAAGAGTGTGTGGGGGGAGGTTGGGTGTGTGGGAGGGTATGTGTGGATAAGTGTGTAGGAGGTGAGTGTATGGGGGAAGGTGCTTGTGTTTGGGTGAAGCTATGTGGAGGGGAGGCTGTGTGTGGGAGGAGGGTGTGTGTGGGAGGGGTGGGGTGGTGGAGGTTATGTTTTGTGGGAGGGTGTGTATGTGGGAGGCTGTTTGTGGGGGGAGACTGTGTGGGGGTAGAGTGCGTGTGGGGGGAGAGGGTGTGTGGAAGTGTAGAGTGAGGGGTAATGTGTGACTATGGGGAGAGTGTCAGTGGGTGAGGATGGATTTGTGGGGGAGTGTGCGTATGTGGCGGAGTGTTTGTGAGGGGGATGGGGTGTGGGGGGAGCGTGTGTGTGTTGGGGGGTGGGGGGTTTGGGGAGAGATTAGAGTAGAGAGCTCCAGTGGGGGAGAGAGCACCAGCACAGACACGATGGGGAGACAGCAGCGAATGGGATTAGAGTAGAAATGTTCTTACATTGGACTCTTCTGTTTACCTGTAAGTACAAAATGTAATAATGTTAAAATTCTTCAGTACCGGTTGTGTGTAGTTGTGGTTTTATTAATAATAACTCTTCCCTTTCATCCAGCGTCATCCAGAAACATAATCTGCTGACGGTTGTGGAATTTGATTTGCTTTTTGGTACAGAACGTAACAGGAACGACATCTGCTCAGATTGTAGATGGATATTCCCGCTTGCATTGGCTTTGACCAAAGTAAAATAACAATAAAAATCCTTCCATAAAATAGAGCGCCTGATAAAATAGTAATTCTTGCAATTGAATAGCGCCTTATCATGACTTCAAGACATCTCAACGCACTTCAGATTATACTGTAAAGTGAATTAACTGTACATATTGGGCGAAATGCGGCAGTGCCCCACAAACAGCTGTGAATGGAGTCACCAATTTAATTTTTTTTTTGAAGGAATTAATCCCCCGGAAAATCAATAATCCAATCGACTAACAACCGGGTTCCTGCTGACTGCTCAGTAAACAGAGGCGTGTGGAGTAAGGAAACTTGCCCAACATTGCGGGCTGCTTACAAACAAAAAAACAGTGAACCCAGGTCTCTCGCTTCCGAAGTGAGTCCTCTAACCACTGAGCTACAGGACTCCTTGCCACCTGCCTCTTATCGACTTGTTGAGGTGTCTCAATGAGCTTGATAGGATATACAGAAAGTGTAGTGACTGTGCATTTTCGGAACGTACTGCAGCAGCCAACCGCACGCATCTGTGTCCCGCAAACATGGAGCGAGCAAACATGTCCCACTCCTCATGGAGCAGGTGACCAATTTTATTCGATGGATTTTTGACCAGGACATCAGGAGACAGAAACTCCCTTCTCTTTTCGAATAGCGCCATAGGATCTTTAACTTCCCCGTGAACTGGCAGATGGGAACGCGGTTTAACGGTCTCACCGGTGTTACAGACTCACGACTTCAACATTAAACCAACACTGTGACCTGCAGAAGTTTCTACACCTGCGATCTGGCACTTGCAATGCTTTGAATGCCAAAGGATGCTTCTCTACAGCCTATGCACCTCAATAGTGTCACGAGCTCTAAGTCCAGTCTAATACTGTACATTGTCTATGGTGTTAACATAAACACAGACATGTCTGTCTGACTCAGCAAGCGCGATGCTGCCTGTTGTCTCCTGGTAATGTGCAAGTTGTTAAACACTGAGTATTGGTTTCGTAGCTCTGTTATCAGATTCCTATCTGCACATTGACAAGAACAACATCAACACCAACTTGTATTTATATAGCGTCCCCTCAAACAAGGTAGCGTCCCAGAGCGATTAACATTAACATAGAAGGGCAGCAAGACACAGTGGTTACCTCCACTGCTGGCTCTTACTTTATTCCCAACAATTATACGCTATATTCAATGACATTCATGGCCACTTACGTCTCTTGTACAGACAGAATCCCAGTATAAACACAATGATCGCTAACGCAGTGACAATTCCCGCAGCCAGTACTGCAGTGTGCATCCCGGTCCAGGTTCCTAGAGGGAAAATGCACAAATAGTAATTTCTCGACTTTGAAGAGCTAATATGGGGGAGAAACTCATCATTGTAAAGACGTCACTTAGGTTTTATCTCCCCTGATGTGAAAGTGCGATAGAAAGTCATGTTTTCTCTGTTCCAATGAAAATAGCTCATGTTTTCCTAGTCTGTGCTCATGAGGCAAGCCTCTCGCCCCTGACCCTGGGAGCGGGAGCTTAGCAGGGTCTCTTTGAGGGATGTGCTGGTCACCTGCCAAATTGTGGAAGACTGGATTCAAGTGTAACCTTGATGGTGGTCTCCAGTCCGGGTCTGCAGTATTCCAGGGCTCAGGTGATGACAGCACGGCCCGGCCTGGTGCTCATCGGCAAGAGGTTGAGGAACAGATCGATCACTGGAAGCGCGATTCTTCCACCTCAGTTCCCAAGAATACCCAAGATAGTGTGCGCATTTTTGGTGGTCCTCGCTGGACAAGAAGGGGTTGTGTACCCGATTGCAGTCAATGACAAGCAGTGTGGATTAGATGGTTAAATATCAGATGTTATGGAACAGCAGGATCTGGGTTGGCCAAAGCTTGTCTCAGGGAACAATACAATACACCTTAAAGTGGTGATGATTAGAACAGCAAGAGCGTCTCTCCCACTGGGAAAAGGAGAGAGAGTTTCCACCCCGGACGTGCCGTGTGGGGATCACTCGGGAATTCGTGTTTGGAAAATTTTTTACCGCAGGGATGGGTTTCCTCCCGGGGTCAAACACTCCAGCCATCACTAGCAGATAACATGGAAATATGATCGATGGTGTAAAGAGTGGTTATAACAGGAGCTGCTGTAAATGGTCAAAACACAAACAGGTTACTCAGGTCTTACCCGACACAGAGATTCCCAATCGCTCGCTCTCCGGTGATGTGAAATCTCGGCCGTCTATAACAGTAGTATAGTTACAGGTGTAGTTTCCTGCACTGATCTCGGATATGGTGAACATTGCTGTCTTGTTATTCTCTGGAGTTGTTTGTGATATGATAAACTCGCCGTCTCTGTATAAAGAGAAATTGCTGCTAACATAATTGCCAGAACATGAGATCTCAGCGCTTTTCCCTCTCACAAACTGCCGGGAATTTGGCTTCAGAGAAATGTTGGGTTTCTGGAGCGGATCTGGAATCAAAACACAGTCAATATAATCTCACAAAGCTCGCTCTGTGATATGAAGACAGTTCAGATCAGAGTGAAAATAAAATTTTCATGTTTCCCAGCCTGTAGAGGTGTCAGGACAAGGGTGAGAAGTTGAGGGGAAGGTTCAGTACAGAACCCAGCAAGTGATTCATTACACAGAGAGAGGGGGAGCGACGGCTGGGAATGGCGTGGACAAGAATGGCGGTGAGGCCACGGAGTGGGGTAACAAACAGCTCCAGTCTGGGACGGGAGGATGGGAATTCAGTCTGAACTTCTTGTGTGATCTTCAGACGTTTTATAAACAACAGGATACGATCACATCAGGGGATCAAACAGAGAATTCAGGAGCAAAGACTTCACACAGAGGGGAATAAGGTGGTGCGACTCACTGCTCGAAGCGGTGGTGGAATCAGACAGTAAAGATATATTCAATATATTCAAGAAGAAGTCAGACGTCCACAAGGGGAAGAGGGGAATAGTGGGTGTGGGAGGGAGTGAGGCTGTTTGAGGGAGCGAGGATGTGGAAGAGAGCGTGTGGGAAGGATGGAGAACACAAGGTGTGGGAGTGATAGTGGAGAGAGTGATGGAGAGGCGAATAGAGAGTGTGGGAGGAAGAGAGGGAGTGGGTGACAGGGGAATAAGGGTAAGCGAGGAAGGGAGGGATTGTGCCAGAGGGGAATAGAGGGTGGGGGATGAAGTGAAGAATATAGGGTGTGAGAGGGAGGGAGTAAGGAATAGAGGGTTGGGAGGAAGGGAGGAGTGGGTTAGAGGGGAAGAGAAGGTAATAATAATAATAATCTTTGCATTTGATATTGCGCTTTTCATGTCGGGAGGACGTCCCAAAGCGCTTCACAGAACACACTGTAAAGTGAATTCACTGTATATTTGTGGGCGAACGTGGCAGCCAATTACGTACAACAATGTCCCACAAACAGTCGTAGATTTAAAATGACCAATTTGTGAGTGTTTTTGGTTTTGGAGGGATTATTAAGGGAGGGAGGTATTATTAAGGGAAGTATTATTAAGGGAGGTAATGGAGGAAGTGAGGAATATAGGGTTTGAGAGGAAAGGAGTGAGGAATAAAGGATGTAGGGGGAAGAAGAGGGTGAGTGGAGAAGGGTGGGAAGGATGAACAGAGGGTGGGGTGGGAGAGAGGAATAGAAGATTGGGAGGAAGTGTGGGAGGGAGGGAGAGAGGGAGGGAGGGAGGAACAAAGGTTGTGTGGGGAAGAAAAGAGGATTAAGGGACAAGGGAGGAAGGGATGAATAGAGGGTGTAGAGGGAAGGAGGAATGGGGAGAGACTTGTGTCACAGAGCGGGTGGAACAAGAGTAATTATTTAATTGATTAAGAGGAAGGAGGAAGGGGGAGAGGGGTGGAGGGAGTTTGCTGTGATCGCTTTTATTGGACCCGAGTGGACAACGAGTGACCATTGGTGAGAGAGTCCAGACCCTCGCACTTACCCTGTACAATGATTGCCACTCGCTCGCTCTCTGGTGATGTGAGCTCTCGGCCTCCCATGAGTTTAGTATATTGACACCAGTAATTTCCTGCCCTGATCTCCGATGGGGGGAACGTGGCCGCGTTGCTATACCCCGGAGCTCGTTGTGATGTGATAGACTCGCCGTCTTGGTATAAAGAGAATTTGCTGCCGCGATAATTTCCTGAACACGAGATCTGAGCCATTTCCCCTCTCACGAACACCTGGGAATTTGGCTCCAGGGAAATGGTGGGTTTCTGGAGCGCATCTGCAATAAAAACACAGTCAATACAGTTTCACAAACACTCGTTCTGATCTGTGCTACGGTCAATATCAGGGTGGACAGTCAGCCCGGCCTCAGCCCTGGAGATGGAGCTCGGGGTCAGTGTGAGCTGGGGGTCGGGAGCTCGGGATCCGTGTGAGCTCGGGATCCGTGTGAGCTCGGGGTCAGTGTGAGCTCGGGGTCAGTGTGAGCTCGGGGTCAGTGTGAGCTCGGGTCAGTGTGAGCTCGGGGTCAGTGTGAGCTCGGGGTCAGTGTGAGCTCGGGGTCAGTGTGAGCTCGGGGTCAGTGTGAGCTCCGGGTCAGTGTGAGCTCAGGGTCAGTGTGAGCTCAGGGTCAGTGTGAGCTCGGGTCAGTGTGAGCTCGGGTCAGTTGGGCTCGGGGTCAGTGTGAGCTCGGGTCAGTGTGAGCTCGGGGTCAGTGTGAGCTCAGGGTCAGTGTGAGCTCGGGGTCAGTGCGAGCTGGGGGGTCAGTGTGAGCTGGGGAGGGTCAGTGCGATGAGCTGGGGGGTCAGTGTGAGCTGGGGGGGGTTGGTGTGAGCTCGAGCTCAGTTTGGGGTGGGGGTCAGTGTGGGCTGGGGGTTCAGTGTGAGCTCGGGGTCAGTGTGACCTGGGGGAGGTCAGTGTTGGCTCGGGGTCAGTGTGGGCTGAGGGGGTCAGTGTGAGCTCGGGGTCAGTATGAGCTGGGTGTCGTCAGTGTGGGCTCGGGGTCAGTGTTAGCTCGGGGTCAGTGTGAACTCGGGGTCAATGTGAGCTCAGGGTCAGTTGAGCTTGGGGTCAGTGTAAGCTCTGGGTCAGTGTATGAGCTCGGGGTCAGTGTGAGGCCGCGGAGTGGGGTAACACACAGCTCCAGTCTGGGACGGGAGGACGGGAATTCAGTCTGAAACTCTCGTGTGATCTTCAGACGTTGTATAAACAACAGTATAAGATCACATCAGGGGATCAAACAGAGAATTCAGGAGCAACGACTTCACACAGAGGGGAATAAGGTGGTGCGACTCACTGCTCGAAGCGGTGGTGGAATCAGACAGTAAAGATACATTCGACATGAATGAGGGAGTGAGGAATGTGGAAGAGAGCATGTGGGAAGGATGGAGGGTGTGGGAGTGATAGTGAAGAGAGTGAGGCAGAGGGGAATAGAGAATGTGGGAGGAAGAAAGGGAGTGGGTGACAGGGGAATAAGGGTAAGCGAGGAAGGGAGGGATTGTGGCAGAGGGGAATAGAGGGTGGGGGATGAAGTGAGGAATATAGGGTGTGAGAGGGAGTGAATGAGGAATAGAGGGTTGGCAGGAAGGGAGGAGTGGCTTAGAGGGGAAGAGAAGGTAATAATAATAATAATAATAATAATAAAAATTAATAATAATAATCTTTGCATTTGATATTGCGCTTTTCATGTCGGGAGGACGTCCCAACGCACTTCACAGAACACACTGTAAAATGAATTCACTGTATATTTGTGGGCGAACGCGGCAGCCAATTACGTACAACAATGTCCCACAAACAGTCGTAGATTTAAAATGACCAATTTGTGAGTGTTTTCGGTTTTGGAGGGATTATTAAGGGAGGGAGGTATTATTTTGGGACGTCCTCCTGACGTGAAAGGCGCTTTATAAATGGAATCTTGTTGTTGTTGTTGTAAGGGAGGAAGTGATGAATATAGAGTTTGAGAGGAAAGGAGTGAGGAATAAAGGATGTGGGGGGAAGAAGAGGGTGAGTGGAGAAGGGAGGGAAGGATGAACAGAGGGTGGGGTGGGAGAGAGGAATAGAAGATTGGGAGGAAGTGTGGGAGGGAGGGAGCGAGGAATAAAGGTTGTGTGGGGAAGAAAAGAGGATTAAGGGACAAGGGAGGATGGGATGAATAGAGGGTGTAGAGGGAAGGAGGAATGGGGAGAGAAGCGTGTCACAGAGCGGGTGAAACAAGAGGAATTATTTAATTGATTAAGAGGAAGGAGAAAGGGGGAGAGGGGTGGAGGGAGTTTGCTGTGATCGCTTTTATTGGACCCGAGTGGACAGTGAGTGACCATTGGTGAGAGAGTCCAGACGCTCACACTTACCCTGTACAGTGATTGCCACTCGCTCGCTCGCTGGTGATGTGAGCTCTCGGCCTCCTACGAGTTTAGTATATTGACACCAGTGATTTCCTGCCCTGACCTCCGATGGTGGGAACGTGGCCGCGTTGCTATAGCCCGGAGATCGTTGTGATGTGATAGACTCGCCGTCTCGGTATAAAGAGAATTTGCTGCCGCGATAATTTCCTGAACATGAGATCTGAGCCATTTCCCCTCTCACGAACACCAGGGAATTTGGCTCCAGGGATATGGTGGGTTTCTGGAGCGCATCTGCAATAAAAACACAGTCTCACAAACACTCGTTCTGATCTGTGCTACGGTCAATATCAGGGTGGACAGTAAGCCCGGCCTCAGCCCTGGAGACTGAGCTCGGGGTCGGTGTGAGCTCGGGGTCGGTGTGAGCTCAGGGTCGGTGTGAGCTCAGGGTCGGTGTGAGCTCGGGGTCGGTGTGAGCTCGGGGTCGGTGTGAGCTCGGGGTCGGTGTGGGCTCGGTGTCGGTGTGGGCTTGGCGTCAGTGTGAGCTCGGGGTCTGTGTGAGCTCGGGGTCGGTGTGGGCTTGGCGTCAGTGTGAGCTCGGGGTCAGTGTGAGCTCAGGGTCAGTGTGAGCTGGAGGTGGTCAGTGTGGGCTCGGGGTCAGTGTGAGCTCGGGGTCAGTGTGAGCTCGGGGTCAGTGTGAACTGTGGGGGGTCAATGTGAGCTGGGGGGGGTCAGTGTGAGCTGGGGAGTCAGTGTGAGCTGGGGGGGTTTGGTGTGAGCTCGATCTCAGTTTGGGGTGGGGGTCAGTGTGGGATCGGGTTCAGTGTGGGCTGGGGTGGTCAGTGTGAGCTCGGGGTCAGTGTTAGCTCGGGGTCAGTGTGAGCTCGGGGTCAGTGTGAGCTCGGGGTCAGTGTGAGCTCAGGGTCAGTGTGAGCTCGGGGTCAGTGTGAGCTCGGGGTCAGTGTGAGCTCGGGGTCAGTTGAGCTTGGGGTCAGTGTAAGCTCAGTGGTCAGTGTGAGCTCGGGGTAAGTGTGAGCTCGGGGTCAGTGTGAGCTCGGATTTAGTATGAGCTCGGGGTCAGTGTGAGCCCGTGGAGTGGGGTAACACACAGCTCCAGTCTGGGACAGGAGGACGGGAATTCAGTCTGAAACTCTCGTGTGATCTTCAGACGTTTTATAAACAACAGTATAAGATCATATAAGGTGATCAAACAGAGAATTCAGGAGCAATGACTTCACACAGAAGGGAATAAGTTGGTGCGACTCACTGCTCGAAGCGGTGGTGGAATCAGACAGTAAAGATACATTCAATATATTCAAGAAGAAGTCCAACCTTCACAAGAGGAAGAGGGGAATAGTGGGTGTGGGAGGGAGTGAGGCTGTTTGAGGGAATGAGGATGTGGAAGGGAGCACGTGGGAAGGATGGAGGGTGTGGGAGTGATAGTGGAGAGAATGAGGGAGAGGGAAATAGAGAGTGTGGGAGGAAGAGAGGGAGTGGGTGACTGGGGAATTAGGGTAAGGAGGAAGGGAGGGATTGTGGCAGAGGGGAATAGAGGGTGGGGGATGAAGTGAGGAATATAGGGTGTGAGAGGGAGGGAGTGAGGAATAGAGGGTTGGGAGGAAGGGAGGAGTGGGTTAGAGGGGAAGAGAAGGTAATAATATTAATAATCTTTGCATTTGATATAGCGCTTTTCACGTCGGGAGGACGTCCCAAAGCGCTTCACAGAACACACAGTAAAGTGAATTCACTGTATATTTGTGGGCGAACGCGGCAGTCAATTGTGCACTGCAATGTCCCACAAACAGTCGTAGATTGAAAATGACCAATTTATTATTGTTTTGGGTTTTGGAGGGATTATTAACGGAGATATTATTAATGGAGGTATTATTAATGGAGGTAAGGGAGGAAGTGAGGAATATAGGGTTTGAGAGGAATGGAGTGAGGAATAAAGGATGTGTGGGGAAGAAGATGGTGAGGGGAGAAGGGAGGGAAGGATGAATAGAGGGTGGGGTGGGAGAGAGGAATAGAAGTTTGGGGGAAAGTGTGGGAGAGAGGTAGGAATAAAGGTTATGTGGGGAAGAAAATAGGGTTAAGGTACAAGGGAGGAAGGGATGAACAGAGGGTGTAGAGCGAAGAAGGAATGGGGAGAGACTTGTGTCACAGAGCGGGTGGAACAAGAGGAATTATTTAATTGATTAGGAGGAAGGAGGAAGGGGGAGAGGGGTGGAGGGAGTTTGCTGTGATCGCTTTTATTGGACCCAAGTGGACAGCAAGTGACCATTGGTGAGAAATTCCAGACCCTCACACTTACCCCGCACAGTGATTGCCACTCGCTCGCTCTCTGCTGATGTGAGCTCTCGGCCTCCCACGAGTTTAGTATATTTACACCAGTGATTTCCTGCCCTGATCTCCGATGGGGGGAACTTGGCCGCGTTGCTATTCTCCGGAGCTCGTTGTGATGTGATAGACTCGCCGTCTCGGTATAAAGAGAATTTGCTGCCACGATAATTCCCTGAACACGAGATCCGAGCCATTTCCCCTCTCACGAACACCCGGGAATTTGGCTCCAGGGCAATGGTGGGTTTCTGGAGCTCTTCTGCAATAACAACACAGTCAATACAGTCTCACAAACACTCGCTCTGATCTGTGCTGTGACGGTCAATATCAGGGTGGACAATCAGCCCGGCCTCAGTCTGGGAGACTAACCTCGGGGTCAGTTTGAGCTGGGGAGTCAGTGTGAGCTGGTGGGGGTCAGTGTGAGTTGGGGGTTCAGTGTGAGCTGGTGGGGGTCAGTGTGAGCTGGGGTGTCATTGTGAGCTGGAGGGGGTCGGTGTGAGCTCGGGCTCAGTTTGGGTTGCGGGTCAATGTGGGCTCGGGGTCTGTGTGGGCTCGGGGTCTGTGTGGGCTCGGGGTCAGTGTGGGCTCGGGGTCAGTGTGGGCTCGGGGTCAGTGTGGGCTCGGGGTCAGTGTGGGTTGGGTGTTAGTGTGGGTTGGGGGTCAGTGTGAGGTGCGGGTTAGTGTGGGGTGTGTGTCAGTGTGGGGTGGGGGTGAGCTCAGCTCCTCCCCCTGTGCTTAGGCCCTCCCCTGTGCTGAGCCCCTCCCACTTTGTGCAGCCCCGCCCCCTGTGCTAAGCTGCACCCACTGTGCTAAGCTGCACCCACTGTGCTAAGCCCCACCCACTGAGCTCAACCCCTCCCACTGTGCTCAATCCCTCCCACTGCGCTCAGTCCCACCCACTGCACTCAACCCCTCCCACTTTGCTCAACCCCTCCCACTGCGCTCAGCGCAGCACTGTGCTAAGCCCCTCCCACTGCGCTGTGCACCTCCCACTGCGCTCAACACCCCCCCCCCCACTGTTCTAAGCCCCTCCCACTGTGCTAAGCCCCACCCACTGTGCTCAACCTCTCCCACTGCGATCAAACCCTCCCACTGTGCTAAGGCCCTCCCACTGTGCTAAGGCCCTCCCACTGTGCTAAGGCCTTCCCACTGTGCTAAGGCCCTCCCACTGTGCTAAGCCGCTCCCACTGCCAATCCATCAGTGCTCCCCAACTGTGCTGACACCACCTATATTCAGTGATCCCTGTGTAAACCCCACTGTGCTGAATCCCATCCTGTGCTCATCCCCACCCTGTGCTGACCCCCACCCTGTGCTGACCCCCACGCTGTGCTCCCCACTACTTCGTGCTCACCTCACTGTGCTCCCCCAGTGCTCACCCCTCCCCGTGTTCACCCCGACACCGTTGTGCCCCTCCCCCCACTTGCTCAATTCCGTGCTCCCCCCACGACCTACCGTGGTCACCTTCCCCGCGCCCCCCCCCCACCCCCACCGAGAAGGAGGTGATTATCAGAGCCACAATTATTTTGCGCAGCAGATGATACCTTAGGTGCGAGACCTGTAATACTGACCCCAGGGAATGGGCGAGACCCCCACCCAGATTTAATGCTGATAAACTGACGGATTGTGGGATAGAAACTTGATCAGAGTTTCTCAAACTGTGTTTAACCGAAAACATGTGAAGCAAAAAATGATCAGAGAATGAATTATTCACCTGAGCAGATGACGCCGACATCAGAGGAGTGTGACCTGGAATAGTGACCCCACTTCCCTGGACATTCCCTCAGAGCAGACTCGCTCCTCTGCTAAACATCTGCCTGTGAGCTCGGGGTCAGTGTGATCTCGGGGTCGGTGTGAGCTCGGGGTCGGTGTGAGCTGTCACCTGTGCGCAGCCCCACCCTGCGCTCAGCCCCTCCCGCTGTGCTCACGCTCATTGTGCTCTCCCCATCCTGTGCTCACGCTCCTTGTGCTCTCCCCATCCTGTGCTCACGCTCCTTGTGCTCTCCCCACCCTGTGCTCACCCCAAACCCTCTGTTCACCCTTCCCTGTGCTCTGCCCCACCCCTGTGCTCACCCCCACCCCTGTGCTGAACTCTCTGTATTCTGCCCCAGTGCGCACCCACCTGTGTTCAACACCCTGTGTTCCCCAGTTTGCTCCCCCACTGTGCCCCCACTTGTCGCCCAACCTGTTTAACCAACATTTTGACCCCCCTGTGCTCCTCCCGTTCCCCACTGTCCTCAAGCCATTTTATTGTCTCCTGTGCACCCCTACCCATGCCCCCCCACTGTGTTCACCCCCTTGTGCTGACACCCCCTTGTGCACAACACTCCCCCACCCTCGTGCTCACCCCACTGTGCTCACCCCGCCCTGTGCTCACCCCCACCTATGCTCAACCCACCTGTGCTAACCACCCCTGTGCTCACCCCAAACCTCATCCTCCTCTGCTCAACCACCATGTGCTCACCCCTACCCCGTGTGCTCACCCCCACTGTGCTCACCCCTCCCCCGTGTGCTCACCCCCACTGTGCTCACCCCTCCCCACTGTGCTCACCCCCACTGTGCTCATTCCCCCGTTTTAAACCTCTTGTGCCTCGCTGTGGTGACCCCACCTGGGCTCAACCCACTGTACACCGTTTTGCTCTGTGCCCCTTGAGTCACACCCCTACCCCTCGGGCTCACCCACTCTGTGCCACCACGTACTCGGCCCCTGTGCTCACCAACGCTACGCTCACCTCCACTGTGCTCATCCCCCTGTGTTCCCCTCAGTGCTCACACCCTAATGTTCCTCCCAGAGCTCAACCCTCACCGTGTTCACCGCCCCATTTGCCCCCCTCCACCAGTTGCTCCCTTCCGTGCTCCCCCCAACCCCCACCGTGGTCACCCCACCCCACCCCTTCCGAGACCGAGGTGATGACCAGAGGCAGACAGAGTTACCTGAGCAGATGACTCTGCCATCACAGGAGTGTAACCAGGGTCAGTGATCCCAGGCCCATTGGCCTCCCTCCCTCCCACCCTCCCAGGTTTAATAATACACTGACAGATTGTGGGATAGAAACTTGATCAGAGTTTCTCAAACTGTGTTTTACCCAAAACATGAGAAGCGAAAAATGATCAGAGAATGAATTATTTACCTGAGCAGATGACGCCGACATCAGAGAAGTGAGCCCTGGAATAGGGACTCCACTTCCCTGGACATTCCCTCAGAGCAAACTCACTCCCACTGCACCGAACATCATATACCACAACGGGACCTGAGCCTTCCCCAAACTGAGCCACTGGTGCCCACAGCGCTGCTCCACAGCCCAACTCCTTACACACCACAGCCGCGTCCTTCATATCCCAACCATAGCCCTCAGGGCCATAGCCATACACTGTGCCCCACTGTCCTCCATAGGACACCTCCACTCTCCCGGCACACGGGCTGTCGCCATTCACCAGCCGCACACTCACACTCCCTGTAAAACATCACACACAGTGTTAGGATCTGTTACCCGTTTGACTTCCAGTCACACAGGATATTACCACACAATGTACATGTACAGAGCGTCTGTCACAGTGGGAGGGTGTCCGGGGGGTAAGTAATACATCAATGGTAATAACAGTAACAGTTTAATAATAATAATCCTCGCATTTGATATAGCGCTTTTCACGTCTTCTTGACGTCCCAAAGCGCTTCACAGAAGTTTATTACACAACTACCTCTATCCGTTACAGCGTTTGCAAACAAAGGATAGTGTTATTATACTTTATATTATATTATCTTACTTTATTATATTCTTATATTATTATATTTTGTATTAAATTAGTATGCTACATTATATTTTATATTATTAATCTTTATATTAGACTATTATAGTTTAAATTACATTATTATATTTTATATTATCATACTTCACATAAAATTATTATTGTTTTTTACTTTGTTATAGGAAATATTAGTACAGATGTATCTCTCTATAATGTTGTGTTATTATCTCTGTCACTACCATGTTGCAATCATCATTATTGCGGCTAAATTAATTAATTTTATTAAATATAGCTCATAAACGATAGGAGATCCCAGAAGCTGTGCCCTTGATATTAGCGCATAAAAGATATTTCTGTTGAGGTATAAAGCATCTCTGTAGATCAATTGGTTATTGCGCTATTGGCAGATACACAGATACAGACACAGACACAGATATTGTCCTTTTATTAGCATATTAATAGCTCAGGTTTGTGTCAGGGCCAAGTTACACAGTTTATACACAAACAGAGAGAGTTAGACACTAAACACGGGAACACGATACTGGCCGCAGCCTCACAGCTCAGGGCTACGCTCTCCAGGGCGGGTGGGGATTGGGGATATAAGAATTCAGCATCACACAAAACAGGACCCCTCCCACACAGGCACAGAAACCCTCCCACCGCTCAGGGTACAGACCATCCCTCCAGAGCACACCCTCCCCCCCAGAGCACAGCCCCCACCCACAAGGCACAGCACCTCCCCCAGTACACACCCCTCCACACGCCCCCTCACCCCTCACCCGCCCCCATCACATATCAACCCCTCCAAGGCACAGCCCTACAAAGGCACAGATCACCCGAGACACAGCCTCCGCACACCCCAAGGCACAAACCCTCAGGGCAAAGACAAGCACACGCATCCCTGACGCCCACCCCCCCAACAAGGCACAGCTCAACACAGGCCACAGCCCCATCCCCCAGTGCCCAGCGCCCTCCTCCCCAGGGTACAACAGAACTCAAACACAGACAACTCCAGGCACAGACCCCTCCCGCAGCCACAAACCCTCCCCCAGGTCACAGACCACCTCCCCCAACACTGTACAGCAGCCCCCCCCCCCCCCCCCCATGGGGCACAGGCCACAAACTCCAGGCACAGCCACCACAGATATAACACACCCAGGGCTCAGCCCCCCCGCAGGGACCCTCCACCCAGACCCAGCATCACCCAGGCACAGACTGTCCCAGGCACAGCCCCCTCCCCAACCTCCCACCCCGGCACGGACCCTCCGCCCAAGGGCAGCCTTCTCCCTCACGGCACAGCCCCTCCTGAGTTGCAGCCCCGCCCAGGCACAGCATCTCACAAGGGCACAACCCCCACCGGGTATAATACCTTTCCCCATGGCACACTCCCTTACCCCGGGCACTGCGCTACCCAGGCACAAGCCCTCCACCACCCAAGGCACAGCGCACCAAAGGCATACACCACACCCAGGCACAGCCCCACCTCACAACCCAGCCCCCACAGGGCAAGCCCCACCAGGCAAAACCCCTCCCCCAAGACACAGCTACTGCCCCAATGCACAGCCCTCAGCCAAGGCCCAGCACCCCCAAGGCCCAGCCCCCCCACGGCCCAGACCCACTCCATGACACAGCTCCCCACTAAACGTACAGCAAACCAGAGCACAGACACACTCCCTGGGCACAGCCCCTCCCCATGGCCCACCCGTCCCCAGGCACAGCACCTGCCCATGCACAGCCCTTTTCCAGGGCACAGGCAGTCCCACTTCCCACCCGTCCCCACCCCCCTCCCACCCCCCCCACTCACACACACAACCCGGCATAGCCCCACTCAGAGCACAGCTCTAATCACCAACAAACCTCGGAGGAGCCATGACCGCACCCTCCAAAGAGCCCACGTCACCCCTGAGGTTCCCCACCATCCTCTCAGGGGCACCTTATCAAATACCTTCTGTAAACTCAGACACACAGCAGCCACAGCAACAGAAACCTGTGTTTACACAGCGCCCCTCACACAGGATAGCGTCCCAGAGCCCTACGCAGTGGCGCAGCACGAATCCGAGCCGCGGGTTTGTGGAGGTGACCTGAGGCACTGTCGAACAGGAAGTCTTCAGCTTCTGAATATGGAAAAAGACGGGGAACACGGAGGGATAGAGGAAGAGTGTTTCAGGGTTTCGGGGTGTTGTGGCTAAAGTGAGGTCACCAATGGTGGAACAGAGGTCACGAGGGACAAGGGTGTGGTTGGAACCAGACTATTAACGTGGCCTGTGGATTGTGTGATGGTTTCTCTTCCTGTTCCCCAGATGGAGCTGAAGAGCGGCCGAGTCTCACCCTCAGCAGCTAATGTTCCCACAGCAACTTCTGGCTGTGAGATTGGGTCACTGACCTGCACATCCCACCATCTTTCTCTCCAGAAATATCACTGCACAAGGAAAAAAAACAAGATCAAAGCAAGAATTACTGATACAGTAACTCACACAATCAATAATCTGATCTGTCCGGTCTCTCACACCATCAATGGTCAGTCCTTAATGGGCAGCCATTTTGGTCATCACCAAAAAGGGCCCCAGTGGGGGAGTGAGAGGACAGGGAATGGGAATAGAGTAGAGAGCTCCAGTGTTGGGGGTGGGTGGTGGGGGGAGGGGGACGGTGTGGTGGTGGGGTTGAGCACCAGCACAGACACGATGGGGAGAGCAGGAGGATTGGGACTGACCACAAAACTCTTTCACAGATCCACACACACAACAATTGGCTGAACAGACATTCTCTGCGCACGGATTGCTTGTGTTTGTGTTTCTGATTCGCTTCTCAAGTGAGGTTTGGTGAAGGATCAGAAACACAAACACCTCTGCTCCACTCCCTCCACTCTCCTCCTCTCCCTCCCCTGTCCTCTCTTCTCCCCGCTCTAATCTCATCTCCACTCCCCTCTCTCCAGCCCACTCTCTACTCCCTATACTCTCCTCTTCTCCCATCCTTCCACTCTGACCCCGCTCTGCTGTCCGCCCCTCTCTCCTCCTCCCCTCTCCTCTCCTACCCATCTCCCTATCCTACCCTCTCTCCTCTCTGCTCCTCTCTCCTTACCGCCCCCCTCTCCTCTCCTCCCCTCTCTGCTCTTTCCTCTTTCCTCTGCACACCTCTCTCCTCACCACCCCTTCTCTCATCTCCTTCCCTCTCTCCTCTCCTCTTTACACCCTCTACTCCTCCTTCTCTCCTCTGCCCTCTCTCTTATCCTGCCCTCTCTTCTCTCTGCCACACTCTCCTCCCATGCCCTCTTGCCTCTCCTCATGTATCTCCTCTCCTCCCGACTCTCCTTCCCCCTCTCTACTCTCCGCCACTCTCTCCTCTCCTCCCGGCTCTCCTTCCCTCCCCCCTCTCCTCTTCTCCCCTCCCTCATCCCACAAATTTGGGGGATGAAGGACAGTTGACAGTTGAACAGGACACAATGGTCATGTTTGTCATTGGGTTACAAATAATACTCACCGAAGAGGAAAACAAAAAATGGCTTCATCTTGAGGATGAGAAGGAGCTGGTGAGGGTCAAAGGCTGGAGGCTTGTGTCTGGAACGGTGGGGTCTCCGCAGACTTGGAGATAAACCACACGGAGGAGATCTCAGGAGCAGCCTTCTCCGCGATCACTGAGTTCTACGATCCCCAAGTGCCCACTTCCCTGTGACACACACACTCTTCGTCTCTCTCGCTCTCTCCACACTGACCACAGGAACGCAGCACAGTCATGATGTCTCATTTGAATTTCAACACCTCTGTCATCACCCCCTCCGCCCACTGCTCATCTGCAGTTGTTGGTTGTTGTTAACATTGTCAGCTCTGATGGGGGGTGGGGATGGGGTGTCTGAGCTGAACAACAGCGGCAGCTCACCAGTGTCCACAGGGGACAAACTTTGTGGTTTTAGTAGTTAAATGAAAGCAGTGACCCCCAATTCTAGGAAGAATATCGAGGCCTTGGAGAGGCTACAGGGGAGATTTACCAAGAGATGATACCAGGGATTATGGACTACAGTTATGTGGAGACACAAGAGAAGCTGGGATTGTTCTCCTTAGGGCAGAGAAGTTTGAGGGGGGACGTAGTAGATGTTGTATCAAAATTATGAGAAGTTTTGAAAGAGTAGAAGGAAGAAACTGTTTCCACTGGTTGGTGGGTTGGTAACCAGAGGACAAAAATTTAAGATAATTGGCAAAAGAACCAGAGGGGAAAGCAGACAAGGAGAATTGTTTTTTACACAGGAAGTTTTAAGGCCTGGAGCACATTGCCTGAAAGGGTGGTGAAACATATTCAATAACAACTTGCAAAAGGGAATTAGACAGGTACTTGAAAAGGGATTGAATGTAGACTTGGGGAGATGGGATGGATTGAACTAATTGAAGTGGAAATATTTGCAAGGATATGGGGAAAGAATGGGGAAAAGACAGATTGGGCATCCCTTCCAAAGAGCTGGCACAGGCACGATGGACCAAACGGCCTCCTTCTGAGCTGTAGTATTCCAGGATTCTGCAACTCACACACCCCGTGTGGTTCTCGCTAAATTGCAACCACCTGGTCCCAACATCTTACAGACCAGCCCACAAAATATACAGTCAATTCGCTTTACAGTATATCATGCAAAACGCTTGGAGATGCCTCAAAGATATTATAAGTCGCTTAATCAAATGCAAGGATTATTATGATTATCACCCAGAACATCACGTAGTGTGTCCTGGATTCTGGTCTCCCATTAAACTGAGCCTCACCCGGAGCCACTTCAATCCCACAGAAACCTCCTCACCTCATCACTATCACTGACCCTAAACCTGACCCTAATGCTGACACTCTCCCTAAACCCACCCTCACCCTCAACCTAAACCTGACTCAAAGACCCAACCCTGACCCTAAACTTGACCCTATCCCTGAGCCTCACCAGACACCCCTCACCTCAGCTTCTGCTTTATTTGGTGGAAATTAACAAAATGAGAAATCTAAAAACAAACAAACTGTGAGAAGCTGAAAGAGGAACAAGAGATGAGGTATACGGTTTGAGCTGTGAAAACGGATCTCTGTGGTATCGCTGTGTGTAACTATCCTGACACTTCCCTCATCATATCAGCAGAGCATCTCAACACGCTTTACAGGCTGCACGACAGCAGACAAAACATGCTCGTCTGTCTGTTACTGTGTCTGTACGCCTCACTCTGCCTTTCTCTTTCTCTCACTCTCCCTCACACAAAGTGTCTCCCGTACTCTCAGTCTTTCTACTCTCAGTCTTTCTACTCTACTTGAGCCTCTCAGATGACATTATAAATTGAGGTCCAGTTTGTGCCGCGTTCAGGACAGATGTTAAAGAAGACGCTGTTGGGTAAAGAGAAGGGGAGCTTCTCCAGGTGTTAAAGTTCAGTCCAGCTCAAGTCAAGCTGTATGAAAGGGCTAATATTGGTCACGGTGTCCAATGGCAAAGGCTGATGTGTAGCTGAACCACTGTCATCAACAACAACAACAAGATTACATTTGTAGAGCACCTTTTACATCAGAAGGATGTCCCATGGCCATGGCCATGCTGTTTAGCTTAGCAGCGTTACCGGATATAAAGCATAAACCACACAAACCTCCCTGCGCAAGGGGTTCAAACATGTAACTGCAAAAGAAAAAAATAATTAAACAGAAATACAGAATTTCTTTACCCCGGAGTTTTGTCTCTATATTTCTCTGGACAGTAAACCCGCTTTGAAACTCCAATCTGCTTCTCAACAATAATAACAATCCCATTGTATAATAAAATTATATTCCCTGAATCTGATATAGCGCCTCATAATATCTTCAAGACATTCCGGAGAAATATTGGATGTTTCAGACATTATTCAGAATCAAAAAGTATTTATATCAGAGAACGTGAAGGGAGCAAATGAAATGCACAATTATCATTGAGAATGAGCAAAACTGGTCACCAACAGCTTACTTTTCTACCCCATATCCATTCCCTGACCAGGACCACTTTATTCCACCTCCGCCACATTGCTCACCTCCATCCATACCTCACATCCTCAGCAGCCAAACCACTCATCTACGCCTTCATCACTCCCCGGCTGGACCGTGCCATTGCCCTCCTCGCTGGTCTCCCCAACTCCACAATACACAAAATTCAATTAATACAAAACTCCGCTGCCCGGTTTTGAATAGTTTAGAAATGGAGAAAGCCTGGAGCTCAGATATAGAGAAGGGAGAGCAAGTGAGTGTTTGTGAGAAATAGCAGCATTTAAAACAAAGCAGTTAAAGAAATGTGAGTTTGTCTTTTTTCTCCAGAAAATACTTTGAGCTGAGGATAGACATTCCGTTGTTCATCTGTACATTTGTACTCAAGAGGGATATTTGAACTGTATTGCTCATTACGGGGACTTTTAAGATATGAAATATGAGCTCAGCTAAAGGCTGTGATATCGCAACTGTAACCATTGTTGAATTAAATATAAGTTTGCAGAATGATGGTAAATAAAGCATCAGGTGTCCACTATTGAGCTGTATGTGTCCAGGCCTCTGTGTGGGTTTGAGTAATAAAGAGTTAAATGGAGAGGTCCCCGGCACTGCTGCCATGTTGGCTTTGGAGACCATTGCAATCAGATAAGGAAGCCGGTCTCTGGGTGACCACAGGGGGAGCAGATATTACTGCAAATTAATGTAATTCATGTGACATCTGATGATAAAATATTTCTGAATAAATCCAGGAGAATTAATATGTTAATCTTCACCAGGACTCTGTCTGAGACTCGCACTCCTTCAGCTCTGTCAGTGTCCAGAGGGCAATTGTGGTGTCTGTCCACAAATGAGACCCAGAAGTGGCCAGGAATCTCACTGATTCCAGTGGCTCTTAAAGTGGGAGCGGCTCTTAAAGGAGAAGGATGGCTTCTGTTCTGTGAGCAATGTGTGGGACATGTTGTAGCTCTGTTTAAGATCACAGAAAGTTGTAAGATTCAGAGGAAAACACCTACATTGTGTTCATCGATTTCCGTACGGCTTTGCAACTGGTGTCTTTTGAACCCCTCATGATAGAAATGTAAGTGATGGAAAAATAGGATCACATTTTTGGTTTTATTCAAATTCTTTATTTCCAAACCAGAGAGCGAGGCTGGTTGGTCGAGCCGCATGTTACTCGCTCTGGTCTTAAAATTCAAGGAAAAGTGAAAGGTCCCGGATTCAATTCCCAGATGAGCCCATCTTGTACTTTACCACAGCCAATAATCCTCCAATATCATTGTTGATTCATTGCATGGCTGTTTGTGGAATGTTACTGTGCCAAACTACGTAGACTTTGTTCACTCACAAAATACATAATTACTTCACATTACAGTGTATCTTGTGACATGATTTGTGACATCCTCCTGATACTAAAGAAGCTTTGCCAAAAGCAAGTATTATTGTCCAGATTGGGGAGGCTCGAAGAGGGGCCTACACTGCCCCTTCTGCCCATCCATACAAGCCCTGTCTCTCACCATCTCTCTCTCTCTCTCTCTCTAATACACTGTGTCTCTCACAATCTGTCTCTCTCTCTCTCTCTCTCTCACACTCCCAATCTCTCTCTTTCTCCCTCTATGTCTCTCACACTCTCTCTCCCTATGGGTCTATCGCACTGTCAGTCTCTCTTACAAACTGTGTCTCTCACAATCTACGTCTGTCTCGCTCTTCCTCTGTGTCTCTTAGGCTCTAAAACGAGATGATTAATTGATTCCCAATTTGTGCCGTGTGGTTTATATATTTGCAAAATCGTTGGAAATAATGTAATGTTTCCACTATTGAGCCGTGTGTGTCCGGGCCTCTGTGTGGCATTGAGTAATAAAGAGTTAAATGGAGAGGTCCCCGGCACTGCTGCTTTCACAGCTGTTGAGGCCATTGCAATCAGATAAGGAAGCCGGTCTCTGGGTGACCATAGGGGGAGCAGATATTTCTGCATTAATGTAATTTTCGTGAAATCTGATGGTAAAATATTTCTCATTAAATCCAGGATAATTAATATGTTAATCTTCACCAGGACTCTGTCTGAGACTCGCGCTCCTTCAGCTCTGTCAGTGTCCAGAGGGCAATTGTGGTTTCTCTCCACAAATGAGACCCAGTACTGTCCAGGAATCTCACTGGTTTCAGTGGCTCTTCAAGTGATGCTTCGCGCATTCACTGCAGATAGTTTGTAGGGATTGCAGACTCCTGGTTTGATGAGGAAGGAGCAGGACGGCTTCCGTTCTGTGAGCCATGTGTGGGATGGGTTGTGACGCTGTATAAGTTAACAGAATGTTGATTGAATTAGATTTTGGCCTTACGTTCATTTTGATGTAGATTCATGTCCTACTGACACGAAAGGCTCTGTGCCAATGATTATTATCCTGCGTGTTGGGGAGGGGGAGGAGGGTATTCATGGGAGTTCAATGGCTCCAAGTTATTGTTCGGCTTATACACTGCCCCTTTTGCCCCTCCACACAAAGACGTAGTCTCACCCTCTGTATTTCTTTCGCTCCCACACAGTGTGTCCATCACATTCAGTTTCTCTCTCACACACGGTCTCTCACACTGTCTCTCAGACACTATGTCTCCCACACACTCTCTCACAAACTCTCTCACCCTCACTGTCTCTCACACACTCTCTCTCCCCTATTTGTCCCTCACACTGTAGGTCTGTCATACAAACTGTGACTCTCACAATCTTAGTCTCTCTCTCTCCCTCTGTCTATCTTAGGCTCTAAGATGAGATAGTAAATTGAAGTCCAGTTTTTGCAGTGTTGAGGACAAATCTTAAAGATCCTGCAACACTATTGGGGAAAGAGAAGGACATTTCTCCAGATGTAAGAGTCCAGACCTGATCAATTCAAACCGTATGAAAGGGTTAATATTGGACCTGGTGCCAAACAGCAAAGGCTGATGTGTAGCTGAACCACTGTTGAGATACTAATTTAGCAGCTTTACCGGACATAAAGCACAAACCGCACAAAACTCCCCGCAAAAAGGGCTCATACATTTAACTGCAACAGAAAGATAAGCAACGAAACCCAACCGCAGACCTTCTGTAGAGGAAATTTGCCGTTGCATTTCTCTGGACAGAAACCCACTTTGAATCTCCAATCTGCTTTTTAACAACAATAATAATCCTTAGATTTTATATAGCGCCTTATCACATCTTTTAGATGCCACAAAGCGCATCAGGATATACTGTATTTTGTAGTGACTGTATGTTTTATTGGCGAAACACAGCATTATTATTTTACATGAATATTTCTGTGGGACGTAGTTGTGTGTGTGTCCAGCCTGGCTCAGTGTGTGTGTGTGTGTGTGTGTGTGTCCAGCCTGGCTCAGTGTGTGTGTGTCCAGCCTGGCTCAGTGTGTGTGTGTGTCCAGCCTGGCTCAGTGTGTGTGTGTGTGTGTCCAGCCTGGCTCAGTGTGTGTGTGTGTCCAGCCTGGCTCAGTGTGTGTGTGTGTGTGTGTCCAGCCTGGCTCAGTGTGTGTGTGTGTGTCCAGCCTGGCTCAGTGTGTGTGTGTGTGTCCAGCCTGGCTCAGTGTGTGTGTGCGTGTGTCCAGCCTGGCTCAGTGTGTGTGTGTGTCCAGGCTGTCTGTGTATATATTTGTGTGTGTGTGTGTCCAGCCTGACTAGGTATGTGTCCAGCCTGGCTCAGTGTGTGTGTGTGTGTGTGTCCAGCCTGGCTCAGTGTGTGTGTGCGTGTGTCCAGCCTGGCTCAGTGTGTGTGTGTGTGTCCAGCCTGGCTCAGTGTGTGTGTGCGTGTGTCCAGCCTGGCTCAGTGTGTTTGTGTGTCCAGGCTGTCTGTGTATATATTTGTGTGTGTGTGTGTCCAGCCTGGCTCAGTGTGTGTGTGTGTGTGTGTGTGTGTCCAGCCTGGCTCAGTGTGTGTGTGTGTGTGTGTCCAGCCTGGCTCAGTGTGTTTGTGTGTGTGAGTGTGTGTCCAGCCTGGCTCAGTGTGTGCGTGTGTCCAGCCTGGCTGTGTGTGTTTGTGTGCATGTGTCCAGCCTGGCTCAGGGTATATCTGTGTGTGTGTGTCCAGCCTGTCTCAGTGTGTGTGTCCAGCCTGGCTCAGTGTGTGTGTCCAGCCTGGCTCAGCGTATATCTGTGTGTGTGTGTCCAGCCTGTCTCAGTGTGTGCGTGTATCCAGCCTGACTTAGTGTGTGGGTGTGTGTGTGTTCAGCATGGCTCAGTGTATGTTTGTGTGTGTGTGTGCCCAGCCTGGCTCTGTGTGAGTGTGTTTCCAGCCCTGCTCAGTGTTTGTGTGCGTCCAGCCTGGCTGTGTGTATGTTGGTGTGTGTCCGGCCTGGCTCAGTGTGTGTGTGTATGTCCAGCCTGGCTCAGTTTATGTGTGTGTCCAGGCTGTCTGTGTGTATATTTGTGTGTGTGTGTGTCAGCCTGGCGCAGTGTGTGTGTCCAGCCTGGCTGAATTTATGTGTGTGTGTCCAGTCTGTCTGTGTGTATATTTGTGTGTGTGTGTGTGTCCAACCTGGCTGTGTGTATGTTTGTGTGTGTCCGGCCTGGCTGTGTGTATGTTTGTGTGTGTCCGGCCTGGCTGTGTGTATGTTTGTGTGTGTCCGGCCTGGCTGTGTGTATGTTTGTGTGTGTCCGGCCTGGCTGTGTGTATGTTTGTGTGTGTCCAGCCTGGCTGTGTGTATGTTTGTGTGTCCAGCCTGGCTGTGTGTATGTTTGTGTGTGTCCGGCCTGGCTGTGTGTATGTTTGTGTGTATCCGGCCTGGCTGTGTGTATGTTTGTGTGTGTCCGGCCTGGCTGTGTGTATGTTTGTGTGTGTCCGGCCTGGCTGTGTGTATGTTTGTGTGTGTCCGGCCTGGCTCAGTGTGTGTGTGTGTGTGTGTTAGTGTGTGTGTTCAGTCTGGCTGTTCAACCTCTCTTTGACCGAGCCTTCAGCTCCCCTCTCGACTCTCTACCCCCTTCTCGCTCCCTCCCTTCCCTCCCCTCACCCTGACCATTTCCCCACTGTTCGGGTCCCAACCCAACTGTACAGCGCCTTGGGACGTCCTCCCAACGTGAAAGGCGCTCA